TAAAATGAAACTTTGGGAGTTAAGAAACACAATTAATGCATTAATGGACAAGACTGTCCCCTTGAGAAAATTGCCTGCCATTAGACGGTCTGAAAGTAAAATAACAAGCTTGGGTGTATGGCAGCCTAATGGGTTAACTTAATAGTTGGCTGCAATTACCTGTTGTAGGCTTTAAAGTTGGTTTCAAACTAGGGCTTATAAATGCCAGAACTCATATGTGAAAAATTGCACGAGTCAATTTATCTGACATACCATAATGAACCCATTTAATAGGTTGCATTGCACCCTACTTTATTATGTTACTTTGTCCAAGTGTCTAACACCAACAATTTTACTTGTCAACAGGAGAGTGCTGGCACTCAATGGGTTAACATATAAATGTCTACCTGAACAGTTGGGTTTGGGTTCTACTCTAAAGTAAATTTCCCTGTAATCGGATTGTGGGATATGTGACTCTGTCAATATTTCTTCAAAGTGTGTTCTAATGATACGTACTGTCACTATTTTATAAGCGTAATTGACATTTCTCATTCAGGGTGATGTAAGTCATGTGGACAAGAGATTAATACAAGTTCTTTTGAATGTTCAAATCGCAAGGGTAGTGGTGTAGTGGTGCACTAGCACTTACCAGACCTAATTGGCAGAACTAACAATGACTTTTCTCTATAACTTTGTGGATCAAACCCTGGAACAGCGAAAGAATAGCCTATGGAGCTACAAAGTTATAATAATACTCTATTACATGTAACTTGATTGTACAGTTAAGTTTAATAATTAATTTAATCTAAAATAATGCAAAATTAATCAAGAATTTGCATCTTTAATTTTCAAAGATGTTGCTTGGTACTCAGTTTCAATAACAATGTCAGTAGCATGCACTCATTGTTGGAAATTTCTGCGTCTCTATTGTTTTGACAATATTGTCATGACCGATTTTGTTGTTTTGACTTTATTTTGACCAAGTCAGTCTGGTTAGTGTTTTGTATAGCCACAAAATATCCTCCCGGTATAACTGAGATGTTGCTTGTTCAAGTGAGATGTTGCCTTCTTCAAGTGAGATCTCTCTGAGCCAGTCAGGTTGTCCATACAAATTGAAAGGAATTTCCACTATAAAAATATTAAAATAACCACACAGTGAGGTCTCGCTTACTGGGCTAGCTGTCCGCATTAACATCCCTTAATAACCTCAGGGACAGAAACATGGCAGAACTAGAAACAATTGAAAGGGGCAGTGTCACAGCGCTGATTGGCTAAAATAAACGACGCAAAGACATGTTTAAAATTAATGCCACATGATTGGAAAAGATGCAGCAGCCTTCAATTTTTAAAACAAAGCAAGGATGTCCTGCATAACGAAAGGATTATAAATAGTATATCGTATTTCACTCCTAACTTGATTAATTGTACTGCAGATGCGCAGTAGAATCGTGACACTGCCCCTTTGATAACTTAATACACACATGCAACAAACTACAATCCTAGATATAAAACATGCCTTCTCACTTCTCAGATCAGCTGCCCCTAGCAGCTGAGCTCTGTCCTGCACCAGTTCAGCGAGTTCACCACAAGCTCATGCATAGCAAAACCCTTGACTAAATATGTAAAACCTTAATTCCCAATTTAATATACTAGCACTAATATCATAGTTTCATCTCTTGATATACCTGTACTGTGCAACCATTTAATTTCGGGATTGAGGGATGAAATTATCGCATAAAGTTACAGTAAATACAAAAAGGTTTTATATCTACAACCACACATAAATATTTGTGGCTTATTTTCTAAAAAATAAAGTCTACCACTTATTCCCAACATTTTTTCATGAATTCCATGAAATACTAAAATAGTAATTTGAATTTTAAAATGTTTACCTGTTTATACTGACCATCTTCACTATCGTTGTCAAGACAAAAGTGCAAATCACTTGTTTTGTCCGCCATCTTGAAAGCATTTTCTCCCAGGCGCTTCGCTCCGAATTTTTCCTTTCCCCCCATGCGTGTCCTCCCGCGCGCGCGTCACGCAACATCAAAGCGCCGGGGACGAGGCTGGGACCAATCAGTGTCCGCTATTTGTGACAGTCCGCCATATTTTTGTGAGTTAGTGAGGATGACCACCCACCCAACACCGTTGGTCACATACGCCAGAGATAATTGATGAACTTTAGACTCCGCTAATGCTTTCGTTTCCCCGGGTGTAAATAGCCGGGGGGAATTAGTACCCTCGCACGGCCCTTCGCGCCGTCGGTTCGGGGATAATATTCTAATGTTTTCTACCCAACTATCGTACCATTTACTCGATTCGATTCTGTTCTACTCTATAATGTCTTAATAATTTTCCATCCTAAATTGCAAACTGCCGTTCTCTTTGGGTCAAAAAACAAAGCTTTAGTTACCAATTCTGCTAAGTCCCAACTGATGCGTACAGGTTGTGAAAACTTCACCTTTTGCTCAGGTCGGACATTTACAGTTATGATCTTGCTGCTTATTGCTGCATAAATATTATCACCATAAGAAGTATTCTTTATAAGAGAATGTATGGTTTTATACCACAAGATAACTACCACAGCGCCAGATTCTTTCAGTAACGCATCAGGCGAGAGGTTGAACGATGCATTTGGAAACTTGAAAAGCCTTTCCTCTGGTGACAAATTGCCTGGGTATTTTATGTATCTGAGGTTTAGCTGTACGTTGGGATAGTCTTTAACTATAAGCGAAGTATTCGAGCTGTTTTTTAAGTTCTCTCCATATTGGAATCCATAATCTTCCAAGGTTATTACCAGATCACGAATCACCTTATTGTCCTAGAAAAGAAAATAATAGAAAAAAAAGATGACCAATGAGACAAGAAGAAAGAATACCCGCATTGGAATCTAGAGTTCTAGAGTTCAAGTAGCTTGTAGGACTGGCCACACCTATTGGGAAGGTAGAAAATTCGTGGAAAATCTTAACCCATTAAAGCTGCCAAATTTGCGTGTCACGTATTGTCTGGAATTTTAAAAAGTAGGAACAAATTTTTGTACTAAACGAAGCTGCTGTTTTGCCAAACACGAAGAAAACCACAAAGTTTTGTTTAACAGTGTAAGTAGTAATATAGGTACCGTTCGACCTGGATTTTTGAAGTGGTGGATGAGGTGGTGTGAGGTGATGGATGATGTGGTGTGAGGTGGTGGAGTGTGGTGGAGAGGGTACGCTAATTAATATTCATACTGTGAGGGTGAGGCAATGAACATGTGAGGAGGAGTGAGGAGGAGTGAGGAGGAGTGAGGAGGAGTGAGGAGGAGGAGTGAGGAGGAGTGAGGAGGAGTGAAGATGAGGAGTGAGGAGGAGTGAGGATGAGGAGTGAGGAGGAGTGAGGAGGAGGAGTCAGGTGGTGGAGTGTGAGGTGGTGGAGTTTGAGGTGGTGGATGTCCACCACCTCATTTATAATTAATATTCATACGAATGAGCGTGCGTAATGACGTCACTAATTAGTATACAATACGTCATAATTATATGCAATGACGTCACACGGGCAAGTTTGGACGAAATTGGACTAAATTGCCTAGTAGGCATTTTTAGCGTCCCCCACGTGTGTGATACATTAGAGGGATTAAGATTGACTTACTATGAATAGTTCGAGTCCCTCACATGGTAAAATTGTTATTGAAATTAATATATAGCAGAGTTATAGCCGTATCTTTGCTCGGAAGAAATAAATTTCCACAGGTATATTGAAGGATTTTTCGTATGTTACATGGCGAGGAATCTATTTGTCTCAAAAATCGAGACATATTTTAAACAGAACTAAATAGTTGCTAATCCCGGGTTGGCAACGTCGTTGTTAAGGTCAATATTTGCATGTTGTTCAACATTATTTAGCAAACCTTCTACATACATATATACTGTTAAGATGACCGAGTCAGATCATAAGAAAGCTTATCAGGAATATAAGTTAGAATTAGAACAGTTGTAATATATTTTGCGATAAAAATATGTTTTTATCAAATATGTGGGCGTTATATACGTTGTTATGTATTGCCAGTCATTAGCGACGCTTGAGTACATGCATATATTAACGTACAAAATATGTGTACACTAATCAGGCGGGCGGGTAGAAAGAGCGGACTTTGCAGGCAAAAGTGTGCACAAGATTTCAGTTTTAAAATACATTTATTTCTTCAAAACGTTTTACAAAATTTAGTACTGTCTACTTCTAAGATCATAACGTTTGGGTGTTTTTATTTTATTTTTAAAGAGTTCTCGTAATCTTGTCTATCTTTTTTATTGTTCATTAGCCAAGGTTTCTTTAACAAGGGTTCGGACCGTTGGCTCGTCTTCGTGCAGATTCACCCACTTCATACGACCCGTAGTTTGGTTCACTATTTTGACAGGCCAATAATTTTCTCCGCCGATGAAGACACCCGGATGGCTAGGATCAAAACTATTGCTCGATGACTTATACATCTTTGTGATAACATATCCTTCAGGAATGTTGAGGACCACCTGTGCTCCCTTGTTGTAGTTTTGCCACTCGGGAATAGTTGCATCCGACCAGGTAATATGCCTCTGATGTTTAGATTGTTTCCTTCTAGGCTTGGTTTTGACCGATGTGGGCAGGGCTGCATAAAATATTTTATTTTCTGGGACCACAAAGCCAACGAAAATATTTTTTGCACACAAACACTGGGAATCTTATGTTTAAATTTGATTAGTAAACAAAATTCAGTGTATTCTACGCACCATTTCATTATATTTAAAACCAAAATAGATGTATTTTACCCTGCTAGGAGTGGTTTCAAGTCCAGCTGAGGGGAAAACCACTAGGAGCAAACGAACAATCGTTTCATGTAGCCGTCGTCCAGTTCACGGACGAATACATTAAATGAGAAACCGGTAAAACAAGTTTGACAAGTTTTTGTTATTGTGTACTGCTAGTAAAACGCGAGCCAGTTGTACAAAAACAACACGATTACACTCTAAATATAGTAACACGCTATAAATACACTACCTTTTACAAAATATTATAACTTTTCAAAATATTGAATAAAATGTTTGAAATTATACATTAAGATGACTTGAAAACTGCCTACAGTTCAACAGAGTAACTATAAATTCACACACTGCAACAAAAATCAACCTTTTACAGAAATAGTTGTGCCGTCGCAACAATCTTTGATCAGTTGAAATTTGTAGCAGTTGAGGTCGCGACAATCAAAAATTGCAATAATTGTCAAAATCAACAGTAATTGAAAACGTTATTATATTATATTGTTTGGAAACTTTGAAAATTGGAATTTATCAAAACTTTTTTTCTGCCAACCTCAAAAATGTTCTGGGACCAATGGTCCCGTGGTCCGCTATATTATGCAGCCCTGGGTATGGTCTCGACACTAGTACTGTTCACTTTAGTTTGGGTGGCGAAGAGATAAACAAGGCAGTCTCCAAACAGGTCCCCAAGAACTTGCTTATCTGCTAGTGTATAAGGCTTGTTATCCACCAACAAATATCCAAACGGTTTTTCAGTCTCTTTGTAATAGGCGTTCATAAAGTGGACTCTATTCTTATCAAACATTCGTTCTCCAACAATTCCAATTTGTTTACTATCACTAGGACTTCGGTGGCTCCTAGCTCCTATACTCCTAGCCCTACATCGACCCTACATCGACCCTACATCGACTCTACATCGACCCCACATCGACCCCACATCGACCTCACATCGACCTCACATCGACCCCACATCGACCCTACATCGACCCTACATCGACCCTACATCGACCCTACATCGACCCTACATCACACCCACATGTCGCCGTAAAAAATATAAATGTCTTCAAACGATTTATTCGCGGTCATTTATGATTGAACTTTCAAAGTGTCAATATGTCCTATAAGCACAAAAGAGACTGTCCTCTCGGTAACAAGTCTGGTCTTCGATATATAAGTGATCATTTGCGCCAAGCACATAACTTATACGGAGATCAAAGGAAAAAGTGGTTTGGAAGGGAGAGGTTCTCAACACCGTATAGCCACAACTCAAGCCTGTTGCCCATACGACCGGCACATACACTAAAAGAAATGAGATATGTTCGAAAGAAAAGAAGTTCTGTACTAAAACCAACAAAAATAGGTACGCACTGCGTACATGTGGCAAGCATTTGGAATAAAAATTAGAATTTGCATTATGAACATAAAAATAATATAAAAACTGAGACAGATAAATATTGATATTTATAATTACCAATATCAAATACTTGATAAAAATAATGTCAAAATCGCATGGATCGACATTGCAACACAAAATCGCATGGATCGACATTGCAACACATTGTTTCCCAGTGTTATTTCCAAACATCGACGCAGGGACGCCGGAACGATGTGAAGGCAAGGGGGGAAGATTTTCGTGAAAGGGCACTTTTGAATTGATATATACTAAAAGATGTTTGCAAAACATCGGGAGTTGAACTTTGCCTAACCATGTTTTCTAATTTTTGGATGATAGGGGTGTGAGGGGGTTCTCCGTCAGGCAATTGTGCTATTCTTGAAGCTAGATGACTGCATTTCTTGCGTTTTCTGAAGCGAATTCGTAAAATAATTGCACTAACATTTCTGACAATTCGCTATTTCGCCAAGTCAATCCTTTGAATTGAAAGGGCACTTTTGCCCCTCCTGGTAAACGGCAATGAGGGCAGCTGCCCCTCCTGCCCCCTAGTGCCGGCGTCCCTGCATCGACGCATTTCCGTGATTAGCCCATTGAGTCGCATTGTGCCCTGATGCACCCTACTCTATTATTTTACTCTGTCTAACGCTAAATTCAGGGCCAAAATTGGCACCCCCGGCCCCGGCCAAAATTCTGGAAATTTGGCCGGGGATTTCAAGCTCAAATTTGTCAAATTCTTTCTATTATTGTCTTATAATTGTCGATTCAGGGAACCTTAGCAAAACTAAAAACTAGTAAAAACGTAGTAAAAACATAGTAAAAACTAAAAACACTGTTGATTCAACAGTGTTGAATAGTATAGTTTAATGAATATCAATGTATATTATCATGTAACTATTGTTCAGAGTCCAGACTCCAGAGACCATTCATCATTGTGTCTAGTTCTGTAGTCCCACTGGCCATAGTCCATAGTCTCTACTCTTCAGTCTTCATCGTCGCTCATGATTATTTCGACGTCACTCGTCTCGTCATCATGAACCTCTCCCACCAGGTGAGTAAGTTAAAAAAAGCACGTATTAGCGCCTGAGTGGTATGACAAATCAAGTAAAAGTTAAAACAGTTTAACAAAAATCGACAAAATTATATCGAAAGCAACAAACAGAAAAGATACGTACCATTTATTCTCGTAAAATGTTTCCAATATGGCTGACGATAGCAATAAACCGCTGTCCAGTAAATTCCACTGGCCTTTCCAAATCCCGCTTAAATAACATCGCTCAACATCACATAATATCAATGTTCGACCAGTCCACTGGCTAAATTATTGTGCCTGTCCAACGCTAGATGATTTCACTTGTCAAGGGGAAAGTGCTGGCGCTTTTAAGCCATTAAAATGGGTCTTAACACGTCGGGCACGCGTGCTCGCAAAAGTTGCGAGATGATCGAAGTTCGTCAGCGGTAATTTACTGAATACTTAGTGTAAATTAAAATTTCTGACTTCCCGATGAGACACGTAATGGCTGCTATTTTGCCATTTGAAACTGTTCTAAAAGAAATATATTTGAATAACAATGATTCAGAATTATCCCCGAATCGTCCGCTTTACTCCAGTAGCGACGAAGAAGAGCCAAGATATGATTTCATCGGAGAAGCTGTCAATATTTTCGCCACTTGTGATGAGTTAGGTCAAAATAAGGTGCATTTTGCTCACGAAGCATGGAAATACTT